TGTTCGTTTTTGAAATATTTTTATTTTATGCCCGTGTACATAATAATTTAGGGGTAGTTTTAGCAGAGCAGTGCAGCAGCTGCGCTCTGAAAATCGTACCTTCCAGCGGTCTACCGAGACCTTAGCAACATCACGCGATCGGTAGACCAATCTTTTTCGTTTCTTATGACATCAACTTTTTCCAACAAAAATTTCATCTTTGTAGAAATAAGTTCAATCGAATAATTTTTATGCATCTTGCGTGGGTGGTAGACTTGTGATAGCAACGCTTCCATCTCGGTAGACTATTACCATACTTTATTTTTAGGTACTTAATTACTGTACAAAATTTCATTCTTGTAGAAATGAGGCATTGTACATATTATTTATTAACATGTTCAGAACATTGTTGCAAATTTAGGCAACACAGCCTACGCGGTAGACTACCGTTTTGTTTACTTGTACTATCAAAACAATAAAATGACAGAATATCAGCTTTGTAGAAATGAGTGCACAAAAAATGTCGCTGCCTCTTGGACTATTAATCGACCGCATATGCTTTAATATTAGCGTATTACCAGATTTATTAATCTCTCACAATTTTGCTAGTTTAGGCGATTATAGTGATATTATTACTTGTGCATCCTTGCTTTTTTTACCTTCGAAAAATTTGAAATGAATAATTTGTCATTTTTGAAGAGTAGCGCTGTTCTTTTGGCATCCCTAACGCTATCTCCTAAGTATTCACACGTATAGGTATATCTGACATTGCGTAAAATAACATTTCAATATAATCCCATACAGTGTGCACATTTTAAATCCTTTGAGGTTTTGTGAGTTGCCATTTCAGGACAGGATGGTGATGTGTTGCAAAATCACACTGTGCACATTTTAAATATTTGAAAATGTTTTGAGTTAACATATGTCTACCGGCATGTAAGAAGGCTGCAGAGGGCTAAGCGCAAATTACTGATTTAGAGTCTGTAGGAGGCTCCAACTGGCTAATGTGCATAGTGAGGATGCGTGATCTTACGCGCCTGGTACTGTAGGTCGCTGTATAGTCACACTGTGCACATTTTAAATCCTATCAAGACTTGTATCTTAGGAGATGTCGTTTTGCATAATTACAATGTGTACACTTTGAAGTAAGCGGCACACTGTGCACACTTTAAAATATTTGGAAGTATTATGAGGGAACAGACGTCTACTTAAGTTTGATTTCTCGTTTGTTGCATAATCACACTGTGCACATTTTAAATCCTTTGGTGATTAATTATAATTACTTTATAAATAACCCTCTTATTAATGTAATGGTTCCAGGTTTAGTTTTGGTAGACTTTGACCTGTCCAGCGTATACTAATTTGGGGAGTGCAGACATACCTATGTACGATGACAGCACCTTATCTGATATAACCTACAGCAAATTGACTTGAGTCCATGGGCAATTAATGTTACTTTTTTCCCCTTCAATTAAGTAAGTTTGTAACTAGTGGATAATTCCTCTTCAAGGGATTACACTAATGTTAATCTACTTTGACCTAATGAGTGTTAGCTCCACTAACCGGTGGTCGCTTTAGGTTTAGAAATATTTCGATTCGAATTTACAAATTTACAGTAGGTACAGGAAATTTACGAGTTGCCATTACGGATAAAACTAATATAAAGTGGAGCATTTAGGTGAGAGAAGATTTTCGATCTGTAGCAGTTTATTAAGCAAATTTGTGCGTCTCTCTTGTTTATACGGGGTGATAATAAGATTCTGGATTAAACGGCAATCGGTAAAAGGATTAAAGACTATTAATTAGTGCTTTTGTTAGCTGCCAAAACCTAAGTATACAGGCGAAAATGTGCATTTCCATACTGCCAAGTATTGGTAAATTATTCCAGTTTATATATTATATTATTCCTGATTTAAATTGTCAACTATCATTCAAAATTCACCTTCAACGCTAGTCAAATTAACGATGCAAAAGATCCAATTGTATTGCCCAAGGCGTTCCACCATCCAGTTTTCCGAATTGCTGCTACCTTTCAAAAGGAGAAAATCGACTGTAATTTGGAGAAAATTTCTACATTGTATAAAAACAGGAATCGGCCATTTCGGGGATGTTCTATAGCGTTTTATGCTCAATGTCATTTTAACATTCCTAAGGAGGTCGACCCACTGAAGTTTACTTCGTGAACAGATTTGCATAATTTTTATGAATGATAAGGGAACCAAAACAAAAGAATTTGGTGATTTTGTGTTATTAATTGTGAAGTGGAATATTTAAGTTCTTTGATACCATTATTTTGTGTGAGTTAAATTTTATTTAACATCCAGAGATGCGTTTTGAATAGGAAAATGTACTTTGGATTACAATAACATTTGAAAAATGATTATGAGACAGGAAATTTGTTTTGTATTTGTTGCACATCAATATTTTACATCACGAAAAATGTAAAAACCTATTGAGCTCAACAGGGCGCGTTCTGAAAATCTGTAGCAGACAAAAAAAACAACAAATAAATAAGAGGGGTTAGTGAATCGCGCTGCACATAATATATTGCGAAATAGCAATGCTAACGTCTGACACGGAGGCTAATCGTAGTGACGTTAAATTCAAGAAAAATACCTTACGGTGCAGAAATAATTAAGTTTCTATGCAATAGCAATGCAACCTAATCAATTCAAAACGTAAACAAGATAATATGAGTCAATTCTTCGGAGTAAACAATCAACGTAGCTAAGAATGGTAGATCTCTGCTTCGGACAAAGCTTCGGTAACTAATTTATAAAGCAACGATACTAATATCGGTATAACACAGCTAATCTAAAGGATACAATGCAATTGAACTAATAGAAATGAATTATCGGAGGAACAAAAGTAATTGTCGACGAAATTATCGAATGGCGTGTATGTTCTTTCAAATAATGATCGGATCGCGTCTCTTTTACAAAGGAGAAGTGCGTGCGGCGAAAGAAATTAAAAAATACTCTGCACGACCTCGAGCGGCAACACAATTAACTATGTCAAAGAAGTATATAATACAAAAGAAAGAACTATAGGTGACGAGGAATCTGCTTCAGAAATAATCTACATCTAAACTAGTGGATCACAAACGAAACACCTAGATGGCGTAAGGATATCGAATGAAACATTGAATTTTAATAAAAGCACAGAGTAAAGGTTACTTAAGCGGAATCCAAATCGGAATTATCAATCGGCAAGAAAATAGCGTTACAGTTTTAAAGTCACTTTGACCTTGAATCGCAAAGTGGAATAAAAATAGACTGTACAAGGGCATTCAGTCGGTTCGTCTTTCGACAGATTGCGTAATTTTTGCAATCGCGTGAAATTTTAAAGAAAAAGAAAAGTCGCATTCATTTAACAAATACAACAATTCACTCAGGACGTCGCTAGTACCTGCCTATCCCTCTAATTACTTTTGTCCCCCCGTGCTGTTCAAACTTATCTGTTTGTAATATGAACAAGTAAAATCATCAAGATTTACTTATTACGTTATTTACCTACTACGGTCCAGTTTTTGTGCTTTCAAATAATGTTATTTTCATATTAAATTCGTTGGTCAATTTGTAACACAGAATTTGTTAAGAAATTGCAGAATTTTTAATTTCGGTTACAAACGTTAAATTATAAAAACATTTAAACGAAAAAAAAAAGAGAAGAAGCAGAAAATAAAATTGATGGCATTTTAAATAACTTAGATTCACAAACCTAAAATGTACTCTACCAAATTTATACCAAAAATATTCAAGTTGATGGGTGTTCTTATGCAATTTAAATTCGTCACACAGCCGGTAGCTAAAGTAAACCAATAAAATACGGGCGAAAAATATGAAATATTTAGAATCTAAAAGCATTTGGTCGGCTACCTTCGGCATGTGCACTAATGGAGTAAATATGAAATGCTAATATTTGTGAAGTCAGAAATTATATTTCAAATTGAACTGTCCAATATATGAGATATGTTTGCCTCTCTGAATAAAAATGGTTTAAAATCGCCGGGAGCACTTTCGGTATGCAAATGTCCTCTAAAATTGTAATACGGTTGCTTTTATGTTCAAATCTCATTTTCTCCCTTTCCAATCCGGCGAGAAAATTAAAATTGTGCATAATGCGCGCGGCCGTATTTACATAATACACCCGCTCATTAATCAAATCGTCCCTTTAAATGCACGAAATCGCTAATTGAAACGCGCGATTCGATCACCGCCCGGGAGATGTCGCAAGTGCGTTATTCCCATCAAAATCAACGTATCGATGCAATTAAATTGCCATTAATCAATTAAAGTAAGCCTCTGATTCGGTTATTTTTCATTATTCATTTAGGCCGCGTAGGTGGTCTGGTTAATTAAATAACATTGCGTTGGTAATTAGTCTAATTGGCGTATGAAATTCCTTCACGACCGCACATTGTTCGTTCAATTCATCTGGAATACGAAAAAGGAGGCGGTAAACGGAAGGAGCATGCACTTCACCTACCTTTCAGTAAAAGCGAACATGTGTTGAGCAAATGAAGGCGGTGGAATCTTCGACGGTTCCGAAGTGACCGATGGGGCCGGACTGTGAGGCGAAGATGTCCTCGACGGTTCCGGTTCGGTAACGTTCCTCACCGGTTCGGGACTCTCTCTGCCGCTACTTCGACTCGCGCACTCCCTTAGCATCTCGTCGTCCGGACATCCCGTTTCTGACGAACTTCCAGTGAGCAAATCTTCATTTTGCACCTAGAAATAGGCTCACTGTAATCGACTCCGTTCTAAAGTACCCACTCAATCTTCACCTTTTCGTCCTTGCCATCGCTGTCCCTCTTCACGCCCCCTTGTTCTTCCCTCTTCCTCTGTTCCTCTTTAAGTCTCTCGGCTTTCCTCCACTTTGCTCTTCTGTTTTGAAACCATACCTGAAACAAAAGCGAGCTTATGATCTGGACAACTTAAACACACTTTACTGAATACACAGGAATTTGACTCATTTGTTGACAGTGGACTTTGACGTTCGTTTCAACGGTTAAAAGTAGTACGTTCAAGGCTAATTTCAAACGCCTCGTGGATCCTTTCCGAAGAAATACATTGCAGTTTCCCTATGGCGCGTTCTTCCTGTCACTGAACTCCTCCGAAACGGCTGGACGGATTTTGGTGAAATTTAGTTAGTGTTTTAGGTGTTAAGTATTAGGAAGGTTCCATTAGAGAACAGCTATTTACATCTGGTGGTCTGTTTTTTAGTAGAAGGTTACGGGATGCACAATGATTGGAAAAAGTTATCAGCGCCAGTCTGACGGGCGATAACACAATCTCAATGCATTTTGCGTGACCAAAACAGCTGAGTCAGAATTATTCGCAGTGATGTCATAGACCAGCGTGAGTAACTCGAACTAAGCGATGTTGAAACCTGGTGGGGTTTGATAGATGACCTTTGTACGCACTTGATTGGGCCAAGTAGGTGCAGTGTATTAGTTAATGATTAAAGTTGGCTGATTTTAATCTACTAGCGCTATTTTGTAGGTTTTTTTTGTAAAATTAAAGAGTAGGGATGTTGTGAGCGGGAAAGTCACGTTTTTGGTCTTTGCGAACTTATTAAGGAAGTGAAATACGGTTACCATCAAAGTGGTTTAAACCAGTGGAGACTATTTTGAATTTTAGGTTTTTAGGTTTTAAAGGAAACAGGTCTATTTGCCTAATGAAAATTTTGTCAATAGGTTTCCGTAAAGTTGAGCTAGCCGTGGAGACATTTGAGAAAGAATCGAACATTACCGAAAAAAGTAAAAACTGAATAAAGCGATCAGGGATTTTTCCACTCCCGTTACATTTTGCCCCTCAACCGTGGGGCTTTCATAAGGACACGTTACATTGTGTGATGGGTTATTTTGCCTTGTTCTCGGGGTCAACGGGGTTAAACTCGTAAGGTATTTATCTGTTATGAAATTGAAAATATTTCATTTAGTTCCCTATGCCCTCAATTTCTCCCCCCATTAAAAGAGCAAACTATCGAAAAACTTAACGGTCCATGGTTACTTGCAACACTTTTATTTTCTCAAGTATATATCTAAACTATTATTGGTGGAGTATCACTGTAATTTTTGATTGAGGACCACTGCTATCGCAGTTTAATGAACTCTGATTGTAGCATAAATTTTCATGCGCAGGATTTTTTCCTTGAAACTTAACTTTAAAATTGGTATCGTTTAACAGTTGTATCTATTTCTAGTAAATTTAATTAAAGCAAATTTTTTTAACGTACTATTTCTAGCGAATAACCGGATTTGGTTGATCTCAAATTGGTTTGGATATATATACACCTTTCTCTCACGTTGGAGGCTATAATTTGGATTGAAAGCACATGGATACGTAAGTACGGTCATCTTCCTTAACCACCTTGTTATCTCGTGTGTTCATTTTAGGATTTTGCCATTTGAAGTGTATTTTCCTAGATGGTACATTAACCCTATTTTTATCCCAATTAAAAGGGAGTTAAACCTGAAGTCGTCTGAATGCTTACAATTTTTTGGGAATTGAATCAGTACTTTTGAACCTCCCATACGTCTTTATTAAAATCCGGGATTATTTTCATGTCTCTCCAAAAATCCATTCCCAATATTAAGGTTTGCGGAATATTAGGTACCATTAACATTTTTACCAGTTTTGTTTGTTATCTTCTAGAGTAATGGGTAGTGAAAGCGAACCAAGTGATTGACAGGATTCTGCATTGGTCAATTTGCTTTGAGTTGGTGTACTATCTTCAATTTTCAAATTGAGGTGTTGTATGTATTTCCATTCTGCATGTCCCAGAATTGTGCAACTAACACCGCTATCAAGTAATGCTAAAACTGGTTTGCCTAGAAGTGCAACTTTTAAATATGGACGATTGTCTCCTTGGGCTTCAGATGTGTGTTTCCCGCGCATTTTTTCAGTTCCTTAATGCTTCTCCAGGGTTACCACATCTGAAACAATATATCTTCTTGGGTTCCAACGTGTTGAAATTGAACCTGATTATTTGGACAGCGTCATCGTTGGTAACGAACCTGGATTTTTGACCTAGAAGCTCTGAGTTGCAAAGACTCCGAAAAGGGTCATGAGGACGAGAGAAGATATCTCTGCTACCTGGAAACTCCATCACGACAACGCGCCACAACGAGCTACTAGTCCGCGAATTCTTGGTCAAAGTCATGGTGCCAACGCTCCCCCCCCACCCCCCCCCCCCACAGTCCTGACGTTCCCCATCAGACTTCTTTTTGGTCGCTGGGATTAAGGAACCCGTTTTTCGTCCATACAAGGGATGTGTACAGGCCCAAGACTTTGAACAATTTTAACTTAAGGGAACCTGAAGAGCAAATTATTCAGGAGAAATTAATAGAAACTTGTGGACAGAGCTGCGTTTGGATATATTTCCAAACTCAGCTCTGTTTTCCCCAAATCTGCCCACAAGTTTCTATTAATTTCTCCTGAGAGGAAATTAACAAAAGTTTAAGGTGAACATGGAAATAGTTTGAGAACTTTAGAACATTCGTCAGAGGAACTTAAGAAGGAATTGAGTAACGCGCGGGAAGAACATGAAGGGATTTTGAAAGCTACTTGAGAAGAACTTTAGGGGAAGTTGGGTTGAACTTAAAGGGAGCATAAAAATTGTTTCGAAACGAGTTTAATTGAGGAGATTTAGAGGAAATAGAGTGAAGCTGAGAGGCACAGAAGAGGAGATATAGAAAATGATGGGGGAACACGCAGAGAATTTTAGGAGAACTTATGGATAACTTGTGAACCTTGAGGGCGGGTTGTGGAGAAAGTGAGATGCGCTCAAGGAATACATGAGACGAAAGGATTTGAGGACTAGTGGCGATCCCAGGGGAGGCCCCCCCCCCCGTTGTCCATTTTTTCATCAATTCTGTGTCGAGATTTCTTTTATTTTTTCCGTGTTGGGACAAAGTTCGGGCATGGGCCCTCCCTTTACCAAATTCTGGGACCGCCACTGTTGAGGACAAATGGAGATGAATTTATAGATTAAGTTAAGGGACATGCGGGGGAAAACTTAAAGGGGAACAGTGAATTTTGAGTAAAACAAACAGAGCTGGGCACTGCTCGCGAGCGTTTCGCTGGAAAAAGCGCTCCATGTGGAAAAAGCGCTTGCGAGCGATTCGGTCGCGAGCACTTTTCAGAGCGGCCGCTTGGTGATCGATACTCGAGCGTTTACTTAAAGTGCTCGGCGTTTTTTCTGCCCGAGAACGGTTTTTCCGCTCATAAGCGTTTTTTTTCCGCTCTCAAGCTCTTTTTCCGCCCGCGAGTGCTTTTTCCGCTCGCGAGCTGTTTTTTCCGCTCTCGAGCGATTTTTCCGATTCTGAGCGTTTTGTTCGCTCGTGAGCACTTTTAACCGTCCTCAAGCGCTGAAAGATTAAGCACCGCACTTTTCCCGAGCGCTCGCGATAAACCGCTCGAGCACAACTCGCTCGCTCGCAAGCATTTTTGAGAAAATTAGAGTGCTCGTCGCTCGAGCGGTTTTGATCAATATAGGGAAATTTCTACATGCACCGCTTCATAGCGAACATGAGCGACAGTATATCTGGCGACAATCGGCGATGATCAAAAACGCAGACGAGCGCGATTGCCCTGATCTCTTGGGACCTAAAAGTTTCGCTCTGTTCTGCTTAAAGCCGAGTATTTGACGCAAATTCGGGTTTTATATTGGTTGTTAGGGCACGCCAGTCGAGGCCATTTGCGTTCATAAATACGGTTATTTCATACGAGCGAAAGAAAGTGGTAAAAGAGTGGGAGATTTTTGAATTGAAACTTATTATTTGGGTGCGTTAAAAAAATGAGAATTGCCGACTAAATGGAGTAAATGAACTGACATTAAGGATCATCGTGATAAACAGAGAAGATTCCTTTTCGGATCGCTAACAGTAACGGCTGGTTAAAAGCAAGTTGATTGAACAGCGCCTTGATTTTGTATACAACGAAATAAAGCAGGGAATTTAAAAACAATTAATCAGTGCATTTATCTGCAACAAAATCTAGTTAATAAATTGGGAGAAATTAATATCGGCAAAGTGGAACATTGGCATTTTACTCCTATGTATTATCAAGATCTCGAGTATTACTTTCGCGAAATTGAAGCCGGTTTGTTCGGATTCGCAATCCGTATGGACATTTTTGTTTTGCATTATTCACGGAGTCAAGTATACCATACAGAAGCGGTCTGTTTCCATATTTCTAAAGGAGAGATAAGAGCAATTGTAACCTGAAAGGAATCTCATCCACGTCAATATTTTTTAAATTCTTTTTACTTGTATAAAGTAGTGAACGGTTGTTTTTAGGAATTCGCCTTTAAATTTTGTTGAAATAATTTTAATAATCCTAAAGGAATCGACCTGTGAGAAATATTTGAAGGAGCAGATTTTGTACTGTACTATTGACAAGAATCGGATCCAAGCAAAGGATTTTGGTCACTTTGTTTCATTGATTGTTAAATTTGTAGTTAATTTTATTGATACTGTATGGATGTACATAATAAACTTAATAATATGTTATAATTTAACCCATTTTAAATGGCTTTTGTCTAAACTGAAGGCAATGCAAAGCTTTTAAATAAATGAACGCATAGTCAGTCAAAACTGAAACTAGTTTTAGTTAATTAAATAAGAAATCGTCTCGGGTGGATGCTCTTAACCTGCACTTTGAATTTAAGCTTAGACGTTGATATTGTGTTGGAAGGGAACGAAGGGCGATGGACTGACCTTTCTCATTCGGAAAATATTTAACTGCCGGTGAGTTGTATAATGTAATATAAATTATTAACAGTGGACGCTTGGGGCCTCTGTCAGGTAAAACAAAGGGCGTAGGGTCATGAGTGTTGTGATGAGTGTAATTGTGTCCGTAGAGACTCATTAGTAAACTCTAATTGACGTTACAATCT